CTTATTTATACCATGTGTATAATATGTTTCAGAGTAAATAAATAATATTCACTACATAGTATAAAACAAAGTCGCTATTCGCCGTCTGTCTGTCCCTATGTATGTACGCTTAGATCTTTAAAACTACGCAACGGATTTAAATGCGGTTATTTTAAGGTAGAGTGATTCTTAGGAAGGTTTATATGTATAATACATGCATATTGCATCTGTGCGAAGCCGGGGCGGGTCGCTAGTAATAAATTATTATTATAAATGTAAGCGCCTAGTACTTGTTGTAAGCAAAGCATATTGTTGTATTTGTTATCTATATAAAAAGGATAGGCGTTGTTTTGTAATGGCCGATTTGTGAACTCTGTTATGTATGACAAACTACGACCAGCTACAGAAGGACGAACAGAATTGCTTTCCATCTGTTGTGAGTTTTTTTAATGACAGGGGAAGGTGTTAAAAAGGCGACTAACTTTGGGGAGACAATAAAAGTAAAAGTATGGAATGCATATAAATCATAAACGTTGCAGCAGTAGCTACTATCAGCATCAGCTAAAAGGGCGCCGGATCCCCCAAATAAGACTGTTCTGAAACTATCTTATTATTCACAGTACCTACATTTGTTACTATTTCATGTAAAAGCTACTAACCTATTCTTTATCGTAACAAAAGACACAGAGATAGATCAGTTTGGAATAGAAAAAGGGTCATTTTTACCGAAGCCATTGGCAGAACTTCGTGTCAAATATCTGAAGGGTACCGCGGTGTCTTCAAGGCCCAAGTGAATAGGTTGCTTATGGGCAGACGTGTTCCATCGAAGGCCGCATCAGTGCTTTAGCTACCACCAGAGGAGATAGTGGCCAAACGTCGGGCCATGAAATACAAAAGAAAATAAACATGTAGGTACAATATGCGCCTAACAAGTACAATATTTAGCGCCTGTCGCCCTTTTGGATAAATGCGGTCCACGACCTATCTCAATAGTGAAATAACTCAATGAAATATAACTATAAAGTACATAGCCATCAGACCCCCACAGATGGGGCCCAATAGGGCCGATGCCGATTCGGAGTCGCGGAGAACCTAACGGGTAACCGGGGCTCCGGCTCGACGTGCAGGAGAAGGAACGGGGTGGTTTTTAATCAGTAAGAGTCTGACACTCCCTCCCGCCTCACCTAGGCGGTAGCAGTCATTCGATGATTTTCCAACCTTAAAAAAAAACTATAAGGTACATGCATACATATATCGAGGTATTCCACGAAGCGCACCTAAACGAAGCGCACCCAGACGAAGCGCACCTAAAGTATTCCACTTAGCGCACCTGTAGGTGCGCTTAAAATATAATATTTAAAATAAATAATTTCCTATTCCACGTATTTCCGGTATTCCACGAAGCGAATATCATAAATTGTCTAGAACAATGTTGCTCCCTTTATTAACAACTACGTTTCTATGTAGCTTGGTATGAAAGTACAAGTACTTAAGACAAGAGCCCTCGTTGTGGCCGAGTGCAAAACAAATCAAGCACACGGCCCTACACTCAAATCCTTTGTAAAACTGTCCTTTTATACGTTACTTTCACTCTGTATAACATCCATTGCTGTTTAAGTAAATAGAAGTTCAAGAAAGAAGAGTTCAAGAGAAGCTATGTATGTGAAGTGTATCGAAGTTGTTTATAGTTGTCATGAAATGCATTTTATGCGCAATTTACGAGTGCTACTGGAGAGAACCCATTGTAAATAGATGTTTGTGGCGTGAAAGGAATACTTTATTATTTATTTATTAGTCGATATTATGCAAAAACAATAGCCTTAGTATTGTTTATTTTGAAATGTAGATACAAGGCATGGAAAAAGAAAAAGAGAAGAACTGGAAAAAATAAAACTAAGCCTAAAGATAACATCAGTCGTAAACATGAGCAACAGCGTCGATTGTCATGTCACGCATGGGCTCTGACACGACTTGAAACCAATCAAGTAACCTTGTCGAATGCTATGTGAGTAGGTTGTACCACCTAATTAAAATTAAACTATTAGCAACTTATCTACATAAATACCAAAAAAATGACCCAATGAAGGCCGTTAAACATCGAGTAGTAATATTATTTAGAATTGACGCAATGGTTGCAAGAGAGAGACTAGCCTATTGATCTATTGTTTAATTCGATGGACAAGGCTATTATTATAAACAGATTTTCCCATTATGTGGAAAACTGCTCATCTCATTCTACAATGGGACGTAAATAAATGAAATTAAAGAGAAACGTGACTGTAGGTAAGTATCGAAATGCAGAATCAAGGACTGAGCCTCAACATAACACAGCATCCAGTTATATTACGTTTTTAATTTCGCACTCAGACAAACGAAAACACAAACAAATGGTAAAAAATCTTACCTGAATACCAGTTGGCCGGCGTTCGGCCTAATATCCCACATTATGGGCTGCAGTAGAAAGAAAATACTTAAACATCGATCAAGTTTCTGAACCGGCTCGTCTCTAAACTAAATTATTGATAACAATCGACGGCTGAAATATAAAGCGCATTGCAACTGCAGCGCTCCCGCCAACACAACGCGTTCTATTTTTAAACATTTGAATTTCAAGTTTCAAATTTTCTTTTTTCTTCATCTTCTTTGTTTTTAAAAACATCAAGATGCCTTGCGGAGGTTGTGGTGACAGTGAGTTTTGCTATTTGTTTTTTAATTTATTTTATCTAAATACAAATATTTTGTTGATTTTTTTACTTAAACAGCACCTGACCTAGTGTAAGGTAATTGTGTGCACAGTTAGCGAATGATCTTATTTTGCATAATATATATTTAATGTCTAGGTATTTTGTATTTGTTACCTATGTGTCTAAACGTGCATGAGATAACTTAGTATACTGCTATGCAGTCTTATTATTTAGGTTCATACAAAATGATAAGAATGTAGATTTTTGCCTTCAAAGTGCGCATAGAAACAATTGTCTTTCACTCGTTGGCTGATAACAGCATAATTACATAGGTATAATGCACTTCTTAATCTTGAAGTGCAAGTAGGTAAATACATTTCATTGTTAACAAAAAATATCTTATTGTAGAATGTGAATGTGTAGGACACTCGTGCGAATTGCGAACTTCTTAACTGTTTTCACATGTTAGGAGCAAGAAACCATAAAATATTTTAGAATTTCTTTATAGATTACGACTGAAATTATACAGCATCTGAGTATGTTAGCAAACAATTACTTATAGGTGTAACAGTCACATATTTTATCGCTCACTATATTTACGTATATTTGTGACTAATATTGTCTAAGTATTTCAAACACTAAAATGCCAAATAGTAGGTACCTAATATTTAAAATAGAATGATTTAGTTTTCGAACGTGGCAATACTGTCTCTGTCGGGCATTCGCGCGATTTTGTTTTTGACAACAACAGATTATTTTTTGTAGAACAAACAAGTTTTGTACAACAAAATTAAGAACATCATCCTTCTGAGTGTTTTATAGGTTACGTGTTTTCAAAGTTCATCAAATTTATTATGACATGTAAAATGAAACGAAACAATCAAACCTCTATAAGTAATTGCGAATGTGTTCATTCGTTTTCAGTGAATTTAGAAACTTGTATCACCTTGAAGTATCTGCTACTTATTTGTTAATTAAACCACAATTAACTAATTCAATGTTAAATTTTGTTAAATCTAGGTATTAAGGTACTTATTATGTATTTGAGTTTTTGGATAAAACATCACTGTTCTCTAATTTCATTTTTATCCATTTCGTGTCCGAACTTCGTGATAGTGGATGGTTTAAGAAGCCAATTTTTCATGCATAAGTGTGCGAGCTCGAAACCTAGATACCAACGGCAAGAACCAATATGACGTTTTCCAACTTTTATGCATTCTCTAAAATTACTTAGACACCTCTGACAAACGGTGAAGGAAAATATCGTGAGGAATCTTGGGCTTTTAATTTTTAAGTATAAGTTTGGAATTGCTAACCCGCATTGAGTATGCGTGGTGACTAATGCTCAAATCTTCTCCGTATGAGAAGAGGGCTTTGGTCAGCAGTAATCACTAGTAGGCTGTTAATGTGGTGTGAATTATCCATTTAAACTGTCAAACACCAAGCGGTCACCGGTGACCGCAACCTATTGTTCTATAATTGTGTCTACAAAACCGGTACTCGACGAGTTAAAACAACAAATTTGAAAATGTAAATTAATTGCATATATGAATAGTAGATTAAGCTTTTTTTACCAAAGAACGGAAACCTCGAACAAATCATATAAATACATAAAAAGAGAAATTAATTGCCTCAACTATGATCGAATCAATTAGTCAATTAGAAATAGGAACTTATTTATTTTCAGTCAAGCATATCAAATCAAATATAGAAATATAATTTAATATGAATATTATAAGGACATAGTAAATGCCTTTTATTGAGGGGGGAAAGTTATCGAATGACTCCTCCCACCCTGGGTGATGCGGGAGGGAGTGTCAGACTCTTACTGACTAAAAGCCACCCGTGCCTACTCCTGCACTTCGAGACAGAGCTCCCGCAACCCGTTAAATCCTTCGCGGCTCCGTTTCGGCATCAACCCTATTGGGCCCCATCCGTGGTGGTCTAATCGCTCTTTCAGGCGCGCGCGAAACGGGACTGTTCGCGACCTGAGCTAGTGTCACACCATTGGACATATCAATAATTAAAAATTGCTATGATTGGCCAAAATCCTACACTTGCGCTATCCGGTGAGCAAAAAAATGTTAGTCTCCATTGTGTTCATCATAAAATGAAAAACAGAACCTTATCGCAAATATATATTATAGGTAAATAATTATATGTTCTTAACAACAATTTATGTACATATTGCTACTTTGTAGCGTATGTTTGTGTAGGTACCTACTTATTTGCTATTTATTAGTGTGTATAATTGTTTCGTGACAGTTAATTACATTATCTAAATTACCTCAACCTACCTCATGGTCTTACCGTAGAATAATTTAATTATACTGTGGTCTTACGGTAGATTAGTCTGTCCGAACGGGCTTTGATGAAGCAAAATTAATAGAATATTGTAATGTAAATATTTTCCAAACGATTGAACCAATGTTGATGGATTTCGAACTGTATTCTATTATAAAAGATCTATTCGATGATCTGCATCATCTTCATATCCTTACAAATGAGAAATTAATTAAATATATTTTGTTTCAGACTGTAAATGCAGCGCAAACCAGTGCTGTACATCATGCAAGTGTGATGCATCTTGCACTTGCACCTGCAAACGTACAACAACCACCACAGACACTGCAAAGGACACCAAAAAGTAACCGTCGTAGCATTAAGCCTTTTTCGTCAATAATAAAAAAAAACAATCATCGATGGTCATGGGTTTCAAATTTCATAATTGGAACACAACATTTCTTTATTTGAATAATTTGACATTAGGAATGGTGCAAAGTGTGAAAAATTAAAACTGGAATGTTTTTACGTAACATTTTATTTTCAACAAATAAAACAACTGTTTAAATAGTAATTTGCTATATGTATAAATAAATAAATAAATTACTCATTCATATCTACTTCGTTTATCAAATAAACTGCATAGTTTATTTGACATGACATTGTTTTCCATCATTCACCCGATGATCACTTTGTGGAATCCACCATTTTGCTTTTCATTGTTGAAAGAAAATAAATCATTATAACCATAGTTTATGACTTTTATTTTTACAACATCACCTGTTTAGTTGTCTAATTTAAACTTACCTACAACTAATTGGGATGTAATAATATTAACACTTTAACATTATGTGGATAATAATGTCTACTTATAATAAATACAGACCTATCTAGTATCTTCTGGTTGCCATGTTTACTTCATGCAGGTATCTGTAAAAGTGATTACAATAATAAAATACAAATGGTACAATACGACTACCTACATAAGTAGTTATATTCTACACAGCAAATTTTTATAGGATTGGTAACTGAACCGAATTTACTTAACGTCGCGCCTTATATCCTCAAAGGGAGAGGTGCACATTATAGCACTTAATGCCACTGTTCAATGTTTTTACAATTTTACTATTTATGTTATGAGTCCCATGTAGGTAATAGGAGGTGAGCTTATTGCCATTACCGGGCACATTTCCAGACTCCGTGCTACCATTGAGATTTTTTTTTAAAACCCAATAATACTTTGCCCAATCCGGGAATCGAACCCGAGACCCCTTGCCCGGCAGTCGCAGTTGCGATCACACGGCCAACGAGGCAGTCTAAAAGAATTTAGAAAATCTAAAATACCATAACACTGTTGACAGGAATGAAATTGCAGAAGTTATTTATAACATAACATCACGCCTTTTATCCCCGAAGGGGTAGGCAGAGGTGTACTTGCATAACGGCACTTAATGCCACTGTACAATGTAACACCCACTTTCCACTATTTGTGTTATGAGTCCAATGTAAAAGGGGATGAGCCTATTGCCATATACCGGGCACATTTCCAGACCCCGTGCTACTACTGAGATTTAAAAAAAAATACAGTACCTAATACTTCGACCTACCCGGGAATCGAACCCGAGACGAGGCAGTCGCACTTGCGACCACCTGGCCAACGAGGCAGTCTAAAAGAATTTAGAAAATCTAAAATACCATAACATTGTTGACAGGAATAAAATTACAGAAGTTATTCATAGTACCTACCTAACTAAGCAGTAAGCACATAGGTACTAGTTACTCACGGTCAATATAGATGTCGTGGCAGTCGCAGCCTGGTACACAATCATCGGTACTTGGAGTTTCAGGCTTCAAATCTGGTATAACAAAAAAACAAAATGAACTTCTTAAACAATGTAATAGATCTAAGTACGTCAATTTATCAATTTACGATAGTTTAATTTGCTTGGTACCTGTAGGTATAACTTATTAATACTGGCACTGGTGAGTTCCAGACTGTATTATTTGTTGTCCTTAAGATTATTTTCTTCTACGATCTCTGACTGCATTTTGGTGTTACATTGTTCTCGCACAATCGAACCAACAAAACTATGAAACTAAAGAATATTGAAAAGAGTAACCTATGGAGTTTCTTGCTCGTTTTTCTCCATAGGAATATACACCTTGAAATTAGCAAATAGCTTCATTTTTTCAAGTGCTATCCTGCTCTAATTAATATAAATGATTTTAATTTTGACTTTAATATTTAAAAAGTACTACTAAAAGGACTACGTGCACAAATGCTGATAAAAATAAAATTAAAAAACATTTAGAAGATTAAAAAAAAAACAGTTTTAGAAACTTACCAGTTAATTCACCAGAAATTCTCATTTTAACTACAACAAAATAGGTACCTATTCAAATAATTTAGACGTCCAACTGACTACAGATTAACACAAATAGTGGAAGAAAAATGCATAAATGCAATCTGTGACATAAAAAATATGACTTAATAAAAACTTAGTGACATTGATCAGCCAATAAAAATGACTAATGAGGCGTATCGACACTTAGATGCCAGCAAATCAAACTACCTATACCTGTTAACTAACTTTAACATATTTTCAACTTTATACCATTGCAGCAAAAGTGAAAATCTGTAGATAGATAAAGGATAACTTGATCTGCTATCATCTTTATTTGTTACTGCGGTCAATGAGAAGATAGAATTGTTTTACTAAGGTTAATTAGAATCTATCTGTATAATAATATCATCACTAGCTACTTCCGCGCGGTAGCACCCGCTCTGCTCGGCTCCTTTTGATCGTAGCGTGATATTTTGTACCCTATAACCTTCCTCGATAAATGGAGTATCCGACACAAAAAGAATTATTGAAATCGGACTGGTAGTTCCGAATATTAGCGCGTTCAAACAAACAAACAAGTATAAGATATAAGATGATAATACGTCCCCCAGCTGAATATAGGCTTCCTATAATGGTTTCCTGAAAGACCAATAATAAAATATTACCGGCATTCAATATTGCTCTCGATGACTGGCGACGTTTAACACAACTATAAAACTAATCTTGAGTAAAAACATGTTCAATATCATCGACTTCAAACAATCAAACCTTTTTGGTCCATTCGAGGTCTCACCAACCTCGCTATTGTAGTTTTTACTCCAGTTCTTAATTCCACTTGTATATAAACCGCAGTCTGTTTGTTCAGACGCATAGTCTCAAGTTTGCAGCAGTTTCCAGTTCTTTAACCGACTAACTATCAACCAAAATGCCTGCCCCTTCAGAACAGTGCAAAGGTATGTTTTGAACAAGGATTTTATTGTTTTAGTAAATGTTAGTAATTAAATTGAGAGATTTCGTTTCACATTTCGGAATAAGCTAACATTAATCTAACTGGCTGTCTCCTTGGCCCAGTGGTTGCAAGTGCGATTGCTGGTCAAGTGGTCTCGGGTTCGATTGGGTCGGGCAAAGCATTACTGGGTTTTTCCAAAAAAATCTACTGAGATTTTACATTGAGACACAATTCCACACTCCGTGCTACTACTGAGTAGCACGGAGTGAGCCCGGTATATGGCCAAAGCTCACCCCCTATTACATGGGACTCATAACATAAATAGTGAAAAGTGGGTGTTACATTGTACAGTGGCATTAAACTGTCAAACACCAAGCGGTACTCAACGAGTTAAACTCATATCAACTTAATCGACGGTAGAAGAACCAATTACATCATAAATTATATTTGTGTTCTTTTGCCGTCTACCCACGCCTCGGGGAAATTATAAGTGGGATGTTAATTGTACACATATCAATAAATATAACATTTACGGAAAACATATTTCCGGCACACACGTAATTATTTGACGATAAACTCGACTAGTTTCAAGCCATGTTAGAGGCTCATATCAAATGAGCACCGCGACAGTCACCGCGGCGCTGGTGGCGGAATGCAGCATGGTTTAAAACTAGTCGAGTTCCTCGTCAAATAATTACGTGAGTAAGCCGAAAACACAATAATTAATTTAGTATGTCTCACGAAAGTTATAACATAAATATGACATTTGTTCAATTACTAGATTCCTGCAAGGATGCTGACTGCTGCAAAGACAATAACTGCGAGACCTCTTGCAAGGATTGCTCTTCTGAAGGTAACTTTACAAAATTATGGTATTTTCTTTCTATACCGATAAGATTAACTATCATATCAACATATCACTTGGACAGTACTCACTGGTGGATCATGGACCTTCTTTGGAAGCGTTGGCTATGATGCCATGAGAAATGTTAAGGTTTATCATGGACCGATACTTCCCGATACCGACCGATACTTCATGTGCCAAATGAGGGATGAGTCAGCTCTTACGCTTAAAACTGTGGGACGAGTAAAAGCCATCGCAGATCTAACAAGCACGGCTTTGGCACGGCTCCAAACCCAGCAATTAATTTGACATTTAACCCGTGGTATGGTAACGCAGATCTACGCAAGGAGTAGGAATGGGGAGGTTTTTAGTCAGTAAGAGTCTGACACTCCCTCTCACTGTCTCTCCACAGGGAGAAGTCATTGGATTGGAAAAGATGTACGCGAGACACAAAATGTTTTCTTGTCTCATCTCTTTGACATACAAGCGGTTAAAAATGAACTTTAAATCATATGTCGTAAGACATAATTTGCGCATTATGCAACTCACTAATTAAGCCGTGCCAGAGCAGTGCTGGAGCCGTGTGATGATCTTAATACTGACTTTATTGGAATCTACCGTCAACACACGAAAAAACTACAAACGGTGATTTAACTATCACTTAAAAAATTCTTTAAGGGTAGATGACTAATTTTTATTTTAATGTACGTCTGGTAGACTATTTAAAAACATTTGTCACTTATTTTTTACTTTTCTTACAAAAACGAATACTTTCTACGATATATTGATTTGAAATATCGCATGACGTCACTTTTGTGTGCGATTTATACTCTAAAATGATGTAGCTACCTCGGAACTTCTAAATTTTGATTCGTTTTATTCAAGTATTGTTTTCTTATACGACAAAGTAAAAAAATACGTGTCTAACTAACATTTTTTCATTATCTAACTGACGGACTAATTACTTAGATTTTTAATTTTCATGCTCTGTCATCATCCCTATTGACTTATTGTTTTGAATATTTTATCACTGTGACTAATTTAACAGTTTCATTTGATTTTTTCTAGACTTACAAAGTTATTATTTTTTTCAGGTGGCTGCTGCTAATTCGTACAATGGTCGCGTACCTGCGCACACTATCTTAACTACTATGATGTGATATTATTGTACTTTATTTTTCGATCACATACAATAAAATGTAACTTTAAAAAACAAAATTTATTTATTATTCTTTCAAATCACACTGTATAAATATGAAAGTTTCTTTGTTTCAATGATTGTATGTTTGTCCGTCAATCATGCTGTCACTAGGTACCGAACGGATTTTGATAAAATTTTATATAGGTATAGGCTGATTTATTATATCGATGAAATGCTCCCAATGGGATGAAACAGGAATACGCGGGTAAAAGCTAGTCTTTTGGATCGAAATATTGTACCTACTACATAAAAGCAAAAAATAAAAATAAGTAGGTAATACTACCTACAGATATTAGATTATAATATTATTAGTGCCGTTATAGGAAATGTACCTACTAGACCATCAGACGAACATTTTTTATAAGAATACCTCACTACTATTTTCTTTTAACACCGGTTCCATTTCAATTGTATGACAACCGGATGGTGTCCTTATGGGAGAATCGTAGCAACTGACATCAAAATATACGCACACATTTACATCGCTAAACATATGTCGCACGACACTCGCTAAAAATCGTGCTTTATAATTATTTTCGTTGTTATTGTATGATGACCCTCCATCTAGACATTATACAAGATGCGACGCTACCGCCAACCGCCAACGATTACATTCCCTTGTACAAACGCTTTATCTTTTGAAGTCACAAGCGCAGCCACACTATTCTTGTGTGTGTAAAATACAATGACAATATTGTTCGTGTGTGCGTCCTCAAATAGAAGCGCTCAGTCTCGGCCACGTCCCCGGCCAAAGCAGTTGTGTTACGTTATTCGCGTTAAAATTATTAACCAAATACCGTCAGCATGGAAGGTCCGAGTCCGAGTAAACGCAGAAAAATTGGAGATGAGGTAAGGAAAATTAATGTTCACTATCGTTTAATAAATTAATGTCATGGCTTTACGTAAAATGTGATTTTGATAATGTTCTTTTATTTTAGGCTCGTGAAATGATTGCAAAAGTTTACCGCTTCCTCAAAGACGAATATGAATTCACGGACCTTCATAAAGAACCAAATGCTGACATAACACATTTGCGTAATATTACGCAGCGCACTGCAGAAGCGACCGGAGTAAGTGAAAGAACAGTATATAAAATCTTAAGAGAAGAAAGAGAAAAATTAAAAGGAAAATTAGCCACAGCGGGATCTAGTCAAACCATAGAACCAATGCCATTGAAAGTAGATCTATCAGAAGAAAGTGATGTTGATGCCGGGGTAAATGAAAGTACAGAGTCAGAAGTACCAGAAGACGGCAACGTAGTGGCCACAACTAGTAAAGAAATGGAGCAAAAATTAATTAAAAAAGAAAAAGACGTGGCCGTCGAAACTCCAGGGGTAAGTGGAAGAACTGAACGAATCTTAGTAATAAAAATGGGACATGATACATCTGAAGAATCCACACAAAAAGTAATAAAAGAGGAAAAATATTTGTCACAAGAAAGTAATGTTCCTATTAAATTAGAAAGATCATCAGAAGACAGAGTTCTTCCTCCATCAACAGGAGAAATACATATAAAAGAAGAAAAAGAAGAGAGAAGTTCATCAGAAGAAAGTGATCTCCCTCCCTTAACAGAAGAAATAGATATAAAAGAAGGGAGCACATCAGATGAAAGTGATCTCCCTCCATTAACAGAAGAAACAGAAATAAAAGAAGAAGGAGATCTTTCAGAAGAAAGAGACCTCCCTCCATCAACAGAAGATGTAAAAGAAGAAACCAGCACATCAGCAGAAAGTACTACTGCAGAAGAAAAAGACACTTCAGACGACAGTAACACGTCAGAGGAAAGAGATACCTCAGAAGAGGGAAGCAATACATCAGAAGAAAGTAAAACATCATCTGAAGAAAGTCATGTCAATGCCAATGGGGAGAGTGAAGGACTGGGTATAAATGGAATAAAAGAAGAGAGTGATACAAGAGAAGAAAGTGGTGACATTAGAAGAAGATATCGCGACTGGAGTTAGCGAAATATTATTAAATAAAGAAGTACGAAGTGACGAAGAAACTGACTTGTAAGAGTTACTTCTGACTGCACTGCGTTACAAAATAAAAAGTTTTCTTAAAGAACTTTGCAGAGAATGTATAATCCTCGAAGATGATCAAAAAGTATATCTATCACGTCTAGATTCTTTGCAATCTGTTGACAAAGTTGCTAAAACTAATTCTGTTTTACTAAAACTATTTTAGGTGCACTGTATTCCACTCGTCAGGCTCTCTTTATAACTCTTTTGATTGACAGTGTATGTTTCTTCAGAGATGTGCAGTTTTCCTTCTATTTTTTCCATGCATAGGAATTCCAATCCAATCAAAATAAATTTCTTCTTAGTTTTTTAAGAAAACGGCAATGTTTCAGAAGGCACCAACATCGTGTAACGCAGTCTTATAATTATTGAAAGTCTTAATTTAATTAAGAACTAATTTAATTTTAATACAATTGAATTGAATTGAATTTCAAAGTGATCGTTGTTTTTAATTTTTAATTAAAAATAAAAGAAGTTTTAAATATCTATTTGTTTTTTATTATTTTGTTCAACTTGCTAACGCTACTTGTTAGCGGGTTACTTACACACACATTGACGTGTGTGTATACACATTACCACTACCAGTATGGCTCGTTCTCCCTCGTGAGCAACGCGTCTATTAATGTGTGTACCGATAGACGTGCATGTGTGAGTGATTTCAATATTGACGTAGGTACACAAGGCTACACATTCAGTTACAATGACCAGTTTATTATGGTCTCTCTTTGTAAGATATTACGCACAATTAAGAATCAATTTATACTGGAATTGTATAGTTGGATGACCCAGTGCGTATCTGTGAACACAGTGTAACTAGACGGTCTTATTAATCATGTGTGTGTACGTGTGTCGCAGCCGTTGGAATACTCAGCCAACTAGACAAAGACAACAATATAGTTTTTTCTTCTTCATACTTATTATTAGTATTTTCTATCGAGGTAATTCGGTAGTAGTTTTTGGTTGAAACCAAATACCCGCAACGTTCTATTATAAATTATAACAAGTCATAAAATGATTTTCTGTTCGTTAGTCTCTAAAACTCGAAAACGACTGAACTGATTTGGATAATTTAGGTCTTCAAATGTTTGTGGAAGTCCAGGGAAGGCTTAAAAGGTGAGAAAAAAATGTTTTTTTGTGAAACGAACTTTGCCTGTTCAGCTAGTAGGTTAAACATTATGAAACTTTTTCAATGAGGATTTCAAAACTAGTCTTTCGAACCGCTAATAAATATACCTGTCTCATAAAAATCTAAAGAAGCCCGCTGATTGTATATCGGACTACCTATCGAAAAATCGAACTATTGATTGGGGCATTATTTTTAAGGGGGGAAAATCATAAAATGACTTCTCCTGCCTGGGTGAGGCGGAAGGGAGTGTCAGACTCTTACTGACTAAAAACCACCCCGTTCCTTCTCCTGCACTTCGAGCCGGAGCCCCGGTAACCCGTTACGTTCTCCGCGACATTAATTGGGACAGGGGGGGGGGGGGGCAAATAAAGCAAACTAATCACCTGATGATAAGCCATCAGCGCTGCCCATAGACACTTGCAATTCTAAATGATTTACAAGTGCGTTGATGTGATTTTAAAAATAAATTCAAGTAGTTTTTTAGTGCCTACTTTAAATACTTGGTCACTGTGGCTATTACTGTAATCTTGCTATGTTGATTTAATCAGGCATAGAAGAATAAACATTGTATTTATCACTACCTATCCGCCTATGCTGTCCGCCTGTCTGTCTGTCCCTATGTATGCTTAGATCGTTGAAACTACCCAACGGTTTCATGATGCTGTTTTTTTACTAGATAGAATAATTCTTAAGGAAAGTTTATATTATTATGTATAGAGGTAATACATATATATTGCACCCGAGCGAAGCCGGGGCGGGTCGCTAGTATTATTTAAATCTAAAAGATATTTTTTATATCTCTTTTGAGGGGGAAAAGTCATCCAATAACCACTTTCAGTCAGAGAATTTTAGACTCTTATTAACTAAAAACCACCCCGTTGCTACTCCTACTTAGAGCCGGAACGCCGGCAGGCCGTTTGCAACTCCGGTTGGTACCTCCTGTTATCGTGGTTTATTACCTAAAGATTGTGTTGTCATTACATTTCTTTGGCATATTTTCCAAAATAATAAAATACTTGGACCAAGAATTATTCATTACATCGACTCTTTACTGGTGACTATTTCCGATTTCGATTTTGTACGATCCACGATTAAAAACCACTTCCGAAACTGTGGCAAACGATTAAATCAGAAATAAAAGGCAAAGATAACTAAAACATAACATTTATATGAGACAGTAGAAGAATACGAGCGTGATAAAGAAGACTATAGAGAAAGTAATGGGGAAGCATGTCTCCAGGAAGCGACTGGTGCGGCTGAAGAGTGAGGGACGACGACTCCTTCTGTCACTGTCCATTGTCAACTTATGTTAGCAGCAACCACCTGAGAACAAACACAAACGACGTATGAGTTCATTTGAAAAAGCATTTCAACATAATAAAATGGACTTTAAACCCCTGAAGCAGTAGACAGGCGTGCAAATATAACCTATAGTATATCAGTAATTGCCTCGTTGGCCGAGTGGTCGCAATTCCACAACCGGGCGAGGGGTTTCGGGTTCGATTCCCGGGTCGGGTAAAGTGTAACTGGGTTTTAAAAAAAAATCTCAATAGTAGCACGGAGTCTGGAAATGTGCCCGGTATATGGCAATAGGCTCACCCCCTATTACATAGGACTCACCCTCATAATATAAATAGTGAAAAGTGGGTGTTACTTCTGTGTGCACCTGTGCCTTCGGGGATAGACGTGACGAAAGGTGTGACGTTATCTAGGTTATGTTAATGTATAAGTACCAGTTATGTTGCGAGTCCCATGTAATAGGGGGTGACAAAAATAATTTATTATATTTAAACTTAGAGGTAGGTAGATACTGTTACATATGTTAATATTATAACTTTCGTGAGACATGATTAAATTAATTATTATTATGTTTTCGGCTTACTCACTCTCAGTTTCAGGTCGCCGCGTCGCGGGTCGCAGAATGCTGCTCACGAACATGAGTCTCTAACAGGGCTTGAAACTAATCGAGTTTCTCATCAAACAGTTAATGTGAGTAAGCCGAAAACATAATATTTAACTGTTACACTTGCACCGAAGTAGCATACTAGGCGTTCTATTGAACATGCTCAAAAATGTTCAAAAATCGAACGTCTGTCGATTTACAAGCATGCCCAAAATGAGCACGCTAATATTGAGCAACATTCCGACACTCGTGCTACTAAGTAACAAGTGCTATGTGCTTGAAATTAGCATCTGAACCACTACCTTTAGATTAGACAGACATTTTTGAAAATAGAATTGTTTCCACTAGATGTGTTATACCATAGTGTACCCTTTTCTACACCTCTTTATAGTTTTTATATAACATGTAACTTAAATAACGCACATCCTGAAAATAGTTTGTTCAGAATCGTTAACTGAATCGATTTATATTATTTTTAGTATAGGTAATTTATTATCCCAAAAATAATTAAAACTACGAAAATTATTGTCATATTAACCCTGTATTGTTAAAACAAATCGAAATGGACCGTAAGTCAAAGCAATAAGACTTTTAAAATCGCTGTTTTATTTGTATTCATACAAATTCTATCGTTCAATACAAAATAAAGAAAAATAAACCTTATGACAAGACCAGTAAGGATGCTTATACATGTTAAATTAAAAATTTTGTGTATGTATTATGATTATAAAATAATATTCTAATTGGGGTGTTTGAGGGTGTGCATTAATTAAGTGTGTATATACAGTAAAATAGTTGATAATAATTATATGTTCACTAACCCAAGTGTTTTGTCCTTTCAGCTACCTACTAACAACTAAAAACTACCACAAAGTTAATTTCGACGGTTCATAAAACTGCCGTCACCACTGGACACTGACAGTATAGTCAACAAGATCGTTTTGGAGACTCGTTTGCCAAAGAAGCAAAAAAAAAGTGCACCTACCTCTACATTCGTTTCTTGCTTAACATTCTTTTAATATCACCATCACCTATGAAAGAAATAAGAGGTATGATAGGTATATCACCTTTTGATGTGCAATCGTCGCAGCCCTTGTCTTTGCATGCACAGTTGTCTCCACAAGCCCCACCTTTGCAGGTATCTGTAATAAACATGCATTCAGTTATCTCCTTTGAAAAAAGGGTACATACCCTGTGAGTCATTTTTCACTTCATTACTTTGACAATAGATTCCATTTCAGAGCTGTTCAGACTCAATTACTATACTACTAAATACGATAAAGTTTATGTTAGCCTAACAATAACCTACAATAGATTGTCATACTATATACATACGCAATGTAAAAGGTTTACGACATTTGTGATGATGACAGGGTATTTTTATTTATTTTATTTTATTTACATCGGAAATCATACAGTATTAACAGCCAAAAAAAAAACACAATTTACGCAACTATTAACCAATTACATGTATGAAAATTAAAAATCTAATAATCCGTAAGTTAGGTAATGAAAAAATATTAGACACGTTTTTTTGTTTTGTCGTATAATAAAACACTACTTAGATAAAACGCATCAAAGTTTAGGAGTGGGGGCTAAAACGTCATTTCTACGTTGATAAAAAATATACATAGAAGTGACGTCACGCGACATTTCAAATCAATATATCGTCGAAAGTATTCGTTTCTGTAAGAAAATACGTGTCTAATGATTTAAAATAATCCACCAGACGGACATTAAAATAAAAATTAGGCAGACTAACAGACTAACTGCTGAGTGAGACTAACCCAGAAGTATTCAAGTAACGGTCTTAATTATAAGCCCAGGAGTCAATGTAACAAAGAATATCTCTCTTACCACTACCTGACAATTGACATTACCTACTCAAAAACGTTTTAGACTATTCGTTACTCCGAAAACAATAGGGTAGTTTCCTAAACTTTAATTCAATATTCGTCTGGTAGACTAATTTATAACATAAAAACGTATTTGTTCTTGTCTCACAAAATTAAATACTTTCAACGATAATTTTATTGTTTTGAAATATCGTGTGACATCGACCTCCCACTCCTAAACTTGACTTCATTTTATCTAAGTATAACTTTATACGAGAAAACAAAAAAAATACGTGTTTAATATTCTTTCATTATCTAACTGACGGACTATTCTAAGGACTGGTTTAACCGCTTGAATGCACCGATATGAGACAATAGAAAATACATTGAGTCTCTCGTAGATCCACGTTAAGACACACGACGGGTTAAGTAACTATCAAACGACTCTGAGTAGGACGGTAAGTAAGTATCCATTAATAAATTAGCCTTAATAGAATGTAATAAAAATGAACACTAACCTCAATAAAAATGACGTGGAACCATTTCTACAGTAGACACGACAAATAACTAACATCTAAAAGGCTATTGTTTCTGTATATAAAGTAGCATTAAATGGCCTTCGTGTAAAGGAAAATTTTATAGGAAGTCAAGTTTAGTTTTCCTATCCAAATTTCAATCACGACCTCTATAGCAGGAAGTTTAAGATAGAAGAATTAATACAATGCGTCTAATATTTTATGTACTTTAAAAATTGGCTCATACCTAAATATATTTTTTTATAGGACAAGTAAACGAGCAGACGGGTCATCTGATGGGAAGCACCCGACACACCCGACATTGACACCCGAAACACCAGAGGCGTTACAAGCGCGTCCCAGTCTTTTGAGGATTAGGAATTTGAAGATTGTTGGGGATTCAGGGAATGAGGAGATTGGGAGATTAATATTTTCTTCCGTATAAGGTAGGGATTAACGGCATAAGCAGTTGTAAGTGTCCACTTCTGTTTATAAAGAGATCCACTTAAAAGGCGGACTGTTGATACACTGATTATCTCTAAACTCTGTATTGTCATTGACAATTTCTAGAACGAAAATATAGAAATTCTTTAATAATTATGTAGACATTCTTACAATTGCAAATCCAACAATGTCTACCGGACCCAAAAACCCGAGCGATTCGACTTATACTTGGACAATTGACAGCTATTTACACACATACACACACACATCAACAGACTATAATGCCCACTAACTGAGCGAAGCCTCTTCTCACACGGAGAAGGTTTGGGCAATAAACCACCATGCTCTATGCGGGTTGGCGATTTCAAACTTATAATTAAAAAGGTTTCCTCACAATGTTTTTCTTCACCTTTTGTCAATGGTGTCTGAATAATCTAAGAAAGTATATATAACTCTGAAAAAGTCACATTGGTATTTGCCGTTGGTAGGTTTTGTACCCGTACCCTCATGCATGAGAAGTGGGCGTCTTAAACCTGATCCCGGCTAACACGATATTATTTTGAATTAACACAATATTACGAGTAGGTAATATCTTACCTTTGCACGGTTCGCAGGGAGAAGGCATGTTGTATCTAGTTGCAATTTCAGCACGAACTGCACTATCTTATAACGTGTCAAGTTATATACCTCACAGTCATCGCAAAAACTACCAACATCTGGAACAAGGTTGCAGAAAAACTGATAACTATTATAATACTAAAATTGACCGATATTATTGTAGAACGAAGGTAAAAAATAAGTATTAAATATTATACAAAGTATCTTGAATTCCCTGTCATAGACATCTTTTGATTTGATTAAATACATCGACAGTTTAATATGTATCTCATTTCTATGGGTGTGTAATTGTACATGGGCTTGTGCCCACTCTACACAGGGACGTAAAATTGCTTTATGTTACCTATCTATCACTTCAGTTTGATCATTGCACACTATTCATCCGAATCCCTTTTTCTATTGGTCACGGCATCACACGTGAATGGCTGGAGCGATTTCACTAATTCTTTTTTGTTGTATTTGTTATTATTAGGAGGTTCTTAAGACAGAAATAGTTCCTGTAAATCCTACGGGAACGGGAGAAAACGGAATTGCGTATGATGTCGCGAACAGAAACTAGTTATTTGTAGTAAAGAATATGCATACTAGGCATAATTTGCTCCTA